TCACGACTGCCCCCGGAATCCCTGCCCCTGACTGCCCCCTGCCACCCCATCCAACCTCCCCTCCTTCCTGACTGCCCCCCAGGACCCGTGCCCCAACCCCTATCCACACCCCTGTCCCCTGACCACCACCCCGAACTCCCCTGTCCTCTATCCAACCCCCCCGCTCTATGCCTCTGTGCCCGCTGCCTGGAGCGCCAGTGGCTGGTGGCACTACAGCCGTGCTGACTGGCTGCAGCCGGGCCACACCGCCGCCACTACCAGCACGCAGCACAGAGCACCGGGTCAGTCCAGGCTCTGCAGCTGCGCTGCCCCAGGAGCTCACAGCCCTGCCGCCCAGAGCATTGCGCTGGCGGCGAAATGAGCGAGCTGAGACTGCAGGGGAGGAGGAACAGCAGGGAAGGGGCCGGGGGCGAGCTTCCCGGGCCAGGAGCTCAGGGACCGGGCAGGACGGTCCCGTGGGCCAGATGTGGCCCGCGGGCCGTAGTTTGCCCACCTCTGTTCTAGTCAGTTTCACTCTCTGGCTCAGAGGAGGTCTAGGGCACATGGCTGTTAATGCTGGTGCCTTGTCTACACAAATACTCACACCAATGAAGCTGCATAAGGTAGCCATGATGGGAAATAAAAGGTTAGTGCGGATATGGCTTTATGGGACCCCTAGATATGCTCCACAGGCCCGATTTTCAGCTGTACTCCTTTGACTTGCCCGGCTTGCACCTTACCTGCTGTTTTAGTCCTCAGGAAGATAGTAGTGTGAAGCAGGGATTGCTCTTACAGGGATGTTACCCTGCAGTCACACATTCCTCTTTTTGCTGCCAGAAGGTGTGTTTGCAGGTGCCATGGGGGAGGGATAGCTCAGTGGTTTGAGCATTGGCCTGCTAAACCCAGGGTTGAGAGTTCAATCCTTGAGGGGGCCATTTAGGGAACTGGGGTAAAAATCTGTCTGGGGATTGGTCCTGCTTTGAGCAGGGGGTTGGACTAGATGACCTCCTGAGGTCTCTTCCAACCCTGAGATTCTATGTTTCTATGACTGCATTGTTAACATGCACATTACCAGTGTCAACGTGAGGGCTCTGAAAGGGGAATGTCAAGAGGAATACACAAAAGTAAGTTCATCTATAAGTTTGACTCCTGACTCTGAACCCGACTTGCCCCTTCCATTCCTCGATATCCAGTCAGCTTCCAGATATCCAAACTAGCAGAACGTGTTATACTTGGAGCTATGCAGCAGGGCTACCATCCCCGACACAAAGTAACCAAGGCCAGTCTACTGATGGTAAATAATTGATGATTGAAGTAAGCTACCAAAACTCCAGTTGACAACACAGAGAGGGCTCTTCACAAATAGAAGACAAATTTTATGTATTTACTTCCACTTTCAGAGCTCTAGAAAGGAATGAATCAACTGTTGACTGGGCTGGTACAAAACAACCATTACACAGTCAGCAATAGCTTACACACAGCCATGGACATCAGGATCAGCTTTTACTGAGCAAAGGAATGTCAACCTGGCCGAAAGGAATTACATCACTTCCCCTCAGAGTGCCATGGGATCTCCAAGCTCCACCTGAGGATCCCATCGGAGAATGAAGCAAGGTGTAAGTCAAGGTGCAATCACTGAATTGGAAACCCTGGGCACTGGAAGACATGGCAGCTGCATGAAAAGAGATTCTGACACTAAGAGACTAATCCCATTTGCAGAACTACCAAATCACTGACTAAAAACAAGACTACTGCTCTAGGAACAGACAATGCCTAGCTCCCAGACTGGGTACTTCACAGGGGGTCATTGTGATAGGTGGAGAAATCCAGGCAAGAGAAAAGCAAGTGGGGGAAAAAACCAACACCTCAACAAATTCTGTTAAATCATGTTGACATTAAGCAGAGCTTTGTTACCTGTCCTGAGAGGGGCCCCTTAAGTCAAAGAGTGTGGAGAAGAGAAAATGCCTTGAGTTTTTTATTCCGCAGAAGTCTAAGAAGCAAACCCTCCTGAAGCTGAGCCAGCTGGAGTTAGTAGAGCCAATGGGCATCAGAGAGAACAAGCTACATGAGAAGGAAATCAGTTTCCAGATGAGGTGCCTGTGCTGTGCCCACAGAGCTCATAAAAAGGGATTAGCATGTTAACCACATAATTAAACATGAAAAATTTAGCCGGCATCTTCAAAGGCAGGCAACAAAACCCAGAGGTCACAAAAACAACATTTGCTGTGAATCAGGTTTAATTACAGGAGAGGCTCCTTCCAGACCCAGAATTTCTTACAGTTGATGGATTATTTCTTTCAAGAGCTATCAGTGCTTCATTTTATCCCAGTGTTGTGCCCACAACTGGATTAAAAGATGATACTAGGTTTCTTAAAAATAACTTAAATGTTCATCCAGCCCCACCTGAACACTTGACCCAAACCTTTCAGAGGGGTGACAAAAGCTGAATGAAGTCATTCAATGCCACTCTACACACTTTCATTTCATTTTTTTTGGCCTCTTTGGTCCTGAGGGCAGGAAATGCCAAAATACAATGACAATTGGCTTTTCTTGGAGCACCTGCAGTTCAGCCAGGAGCAGCAAGGAGCGGATTGCTTACACAAAAACTTGACTGAACGATTCACAGATGCAAGAGGTCTGGACAGCTCAAATAAGCATCCAGACCACTCCATTAACAATGCAGATCCAGGAGTGAACAGTCTATGGCTAACACTTTAACCTGTATCACGTCATCCCTATGGTGAGCTCTAACTGAAAAGAATGCTCTCCACACAGTTAGCCTATAGATGCCACTCACACACCTAAGACTGGAGTTGCAGATTATTTAATAAAAGAAGCACTAATATTTTTGTCTACACTGACTGCTGCTACTTTTCACACAGAGCAAACATCTTTGATTCAGAAATACATCCTGCAACAACACGGATCAATTTGAAAAATAAAATACGGCAAACTGAACATCCAGAAAGGTGAAATTCTGGGCATCTTTCTTTTCCCCCAGTTTTAGTAATAGTGTATCATTAAATAGGAAACGAACTAAAATACAATGATAAAATCAAATTCCAAATAATACTTAGCTCCTACACATCCATACAACTCTAAGCACTCTGAAAAGAACCATTATCCCCATTTTACAGATGGGGAAACTGAGGCACGGAGCAGTGGAGTCACTTGCCTAAGGTCAGCAGCAGAGCCAAAAAAAGCCAGGTCTCCTGATTCCAAGCCCAGTGCTCTATCCACAGGCAGCACTGCCTCCCAAGACTGAAGCTTCTCTTCCTGGTTTTGAATCAGGGGCCTTTCATGTGTTAGGCCAACCTGATCCCCTCTACACTACAGAACACTGCATTTCAAAAGGAGTTTGCCAAGAAGCTTTCTGCTTGCATTTGAGAGGGGCTGCTAGTGTGGAAGGCAGTCTCAGAGTTTCTTCTTTCAATGCTACGATCAGGGCCTACTGCAGCCCTCCGGTGTCTGAAGATCAGGACACATCTGCTTTCTCTTTGGCTACGGTAGAGAGATACCACCTTTGAAGCTGTTTGAGGTATTAAAAGGGTCTTCATAAAGGCACACAAGTCAGTAAACTGCACACATGCCGCCACAGACTGAGGCTTCTCCAAGAGGCTAAGTCTTTAGAGAAAAGCACATATTGTAGACAACAGACATGGTGTTAACTGAGCAGGAGGCATTAGTACACTCGGAGAGAGGGAGTAGGGCAAGAGCATTGCAGCAGAAGGATGAAAGATGAGAAAGACAAAATTGGAGAGATGGTAGCATTAGTTTATGCTGCAATGGTCACATTCTGCTCCCACTGACTTCAGTGGAGTTGTGCACCTGTTACAGAGCAGAATTTGGCCCCTAAAGATTAGGGCAATAAAGAAAGATTAATTGGTGCCCTGTCCAGAGTCCTAGTCTGGCCATGCTACCCCCCATGGTACTAACACTGTGAAACGTAGGCATCGCTATGAAAGAGATTGAGGCAGTATTGCTGCTCAGCTAACATTCCATCAATAAAACAGTTTCCCAGAGGAAGCGGTGGAAGCACCATTACCAGAGTCATTTAAAAATGGACTGGATAGTGCCCTGGAGAACGGATTATAGGGGACAACTGTGCTCCCAAGGGGCTGGGCAAGATAGGACTTAAAAGGTCTTTTCCATTTCCAGGATTCTACAGGACTGCAGACAAGGAGCGAGAACGCGGTCCTTAAAACTGAGAATACCAGTCTCTGCGTACCAATTGTGGCGAACAATTCTAACTGTGTTAGTCTCATAGGACTAGCTTTAGCTGCACGCCTGCCTGGTTGATGCTTCCAGATACTGGCTGGCTTCAGTTGTTTCCCTTGACATTTCCCTTGAATAAGCAGCTCTCAGCCGAGAGATGCTGACTCTACATTCACCGGCTGCTCTGCTCTGAGACAGCGCCATGGCTTCCGTAGGGCAGTTTTGAAGCACAAGTGGCAGCATCAAGAGTGAATTTAAGTTGTAGGGTTTTTTTTTTTGTTGTTTTTTTTAAACTCATGAATTTTCATCTGCAGCAAATGGAAGAGGAAGCATCTTCCACTTTACTTTGCAACACCCTGCAGAGTCTGCAAAGGACATCCATTTCTCTGGTAGATTTCCACCCACATGCAGTGAAGTGGGATCAGGCATGTGAGGCATTCCACATTTAGTCCACTCCCCACTTACTGTCCCAGTTCAGCTTTCATCAAGGAGGACACCACCGAGACAGAGGACTTTGGACAGAAGTGAATAGACAAAAGCTGTGACCCCACAGACAAGATGAGACAGAACAATCCTGCTGTCTATTACATGCTCTTCTGATCCATGTATGGGTGGGGTGGGACACGGCACCGGATCTCACACTTGCAAAGCACACTGCTGGGGTGGCTCAGGCTCATGGTGCACTTTGGGGGCTGCAGCACTGACAGTTGTCTATAGCAGCATATTTCACAGGCAAGCTCATGCACAGGTTAGTATTACAGACGGCGATCCCATCACCACACACAAAGTACCTTGGAATAACCTACTTTGAAGTCTCAAATGCAGATAGGTCTTCTGCCCTGGGCTTGAGGCTAAACCAGCAAAGTAAAATGAACAAAAACAAAAAACAAAACAAATTCCTCTGTGATTTGAGCAGCGCCAAGTCATTTGTGCAATCTGTACAGTTTGCCCGTCGGGCTAGAGTGTTTAGCAGTGTCCAGGAGAGGTGAGGGGGTTATTAGTTAAGTAGGGAAAAACTATTGATATAATTTTCTATTTCAGGTGTCTCAAATCTCCCCTTCCACCATAGTGGTAAAGATTAAAGCCCTCCTCATACCCGGATGGCACGAAACAAGTTGTCTGAGTTTTTACTTTAACTCCTCCTGCTAACAGACACAATTTTTAAAAATCTTTGCTCCACTGGCTGAGATAATAAATAACAATAATCCCTAGCTCTTAGATAGTGCTGTTCATTGGTAGATCTCAAAAGCTCTTTATAAAGCGGATCAGCAGCATTAGCTCCATTTTACAGATGGGGAAACTGAGCACAGGTGAAGTGACTTGTCCAAGAGCAACAGGCAGTGGCTGCCCTGGGAACAGAACCCGTTTTCTGAGGCCTAGTCCAGTGTGCTATCCACTAGGCAACATAGCCTAGTAGTGCCAGAGCTTCTCTGTTGCTGCCTCCTTAGAAAATACTTCAGAAGGTAAGTGGAGAGGACAAGCTTCAAGCTTCAGCTAGTGAACAGAGACTGAGTAGACAGTCCTGATTGCAATGACGATTCACCCACAATTCACGAATGCCTAGCCACCTTCCTGAATGAGACAAATGGGACTCTCTCTCCTCTCTGCCAACAGCTTTTGAGATTTGTGTAGAGGTCAAATGTAGCATTTTCAGCTTAAAAGGGGACTCTCCAGCATGTAAACTGAGAGCTTTATCAAAGCCTAATATGAACAAAGAGGCTTCCAGACTCTAAAAACACTTAAATGCTCACAGACCTTGTATCAGTATCTCTCTTGCTCTCTCAACTGGGAATCCAGGCAGCATAGGGCTAGAACAGGAGAACTAGGAAGTGAAACTGACTAGATTATTTTACTCTTTGTTCCAAGTTCAGTGGGGACAGTAAAATCAAACTCTCCATGGTGAAAGGCAGAGCAAATCAGAACTTTGAAATGCTTTGTTTTAACAGGTTTCAGAGTAGCAGCCGTGTTAGTCTGTATCCGCAAAAAGAACAGGAGTACTTGTGGTACCTTAGAGACTAACAAATTTGCATCCGAAGAAGTGGGCTGTAGCCCACGAAAGCTTATGCTCTAATAAATCTGTTAGTCTCTAAGGTGCCACAAGTACTCCTGTTCTTTTTGTTTTAACACTCTCAGATGGGATTAGTAACACAGGGAAGATCTAATTTTTAAAGTGTGACTTTTACCATTGGCATTGTCCCCTTTAAACTGTAGCCCCTGGCACATATCTTAGGAGTTCTAAACCTTTCAAAAGAAAGGAAACTGTAAGAAAGCCTGGCTGAAAGCCACTCCTTATGCTTGGATTTTCCATTATAATAATAAAAAGTCAGCCCCTTGTTAAAATTTCCCCGATTGAAACTGGATCAGTTTTTAAAAAAAGGAAAAGTTCTGTTGGGACCTTTTCATTTGCTTAGTGCTGATGCCAGTAAAAGGCACAGTCATTTTAAATCCTTTGGCCAAGTACAGGTAGCTCCCGGATCCAGACAGTGACTTGAAACAAGGGGTAATGAACAATTCCCTCATGCAATAGGTGCAATTCAAGAATCTTATTATCAGTATTTAAATCTTTACAAGATTTAGGACCAGTCAACCGGACGCACTCACCTGTCCCCTTTTCTCTTTCTATGGTAAATGAGATGGGAGGGGGTTGAGACTGCTGGCTGCCTAGATCCAGGCTAGAAGGGTCCTTCTCCACCTAGGACCCATAACTTAGGAATGTATAGTGCAATGTCTGTCACATCATGGAATAGACAGGAGTCGGCTGTGATGGACAAAGAGAGACCCTTATGGTTTTTCCTGACTCTCTAGTTCCCAAACTAAGGGCTGGTCTTCACTAAGGGAAGATCCACGCTGCTGCAATCAATACAGCAGGGATTGATTTAGCTGATCTAATGAAGACCTGCTAAATCGAAGGCAGAGCACTCTCCAGTTTACCCCGGTACTACTGCTCTCTGTGAAGAGTAAGGTAAGTTAACCGGAGAGCATCTCCCATCAATGCAGCGCAGTGAAGACATTGGGGTAAGTCGACCTAAGCTATGTCGACTCACTGGAGTAGCATAACTTAGGTTGATTGACCCCCATAGTGAAGACAAGCCCTAACTACACACACACACACACACACACACACACACACACACACCTGAGCTACCTAGAGTTATTGCACAGAATCTCCGTAAATCTTGGTCTGGATTAAGCATTCATGGACAAGCACCTAAATCAAAATATTATGACTCCTTGAGCAGAGTCTAAGCCCTGTTTTTCCATCAGGAGCAAGGTAGGAACCTGGTTACCTTTTTAATGGTGTTGTGCTTGCTGTTGCCTCGGTCGGCATTCTCGTTGTGCAGTATATCCAGCGCTGTCTCCCTCTCCTTCAGTTTCAGCGCCTCAATCTCAGTCTTCAACTCATTCAGTTGCTCCTGCAGGTGCTTGCTCTTCTCCATGTACTCCACTCTGGCACACACAATACACAGCCTTGTGGTTACGCGGTTCCATGACAACTGATAGGGGCTTTTAATTTCATCATGCCCAGAGCATGAAATTGATTACACTAGTTTATGCTGTACAGTGAATTACACTGAGCAGTTTGTTCATTATTAAAAATAGATGATGCCAGATAGCCAATTCAAGAGCAAAACGATGTCATGTAGGTATGAAAAAATAGCCAGTCTAGCATGCCCAGATGATGTTTATACGCCTCCCTATCTCTGCTAGCAACTGCAGAATGATCATAGAATCATAGAATATCAGGGTTGGAAGGGACCTCAGGTCATCTAGTCCAACCCCCTGCTCAAAGCAGGACCAATTCCCAACTAAATCATCCCAGCCAGGGCTTTGTCAAGACTAACCTTAAAAACCTCTACGGAAGGAGATTCCACCACCTCCCTAGGTAACCCATTCCAGTGCTTCACCACCCTCCTAGTGAAAAAAGTTTTTCCTAATATCCAACCTAAACCTCCCCCACTGCAACTTGAGACCATTACTCCTTGTTCTGTCATCAGGTACCACTGAGAACAGTCTAGATCCATCCTCCTTGGAAAACCCTTTCAGATCGTTGAAAGCAGCTATCAAATCCCCCCTCATTCTTCTCTTCTGCAGACTAAACAATCCTAGTCCCCTCAGCCTCTCCTCATAAGTCATGTGCTTCAGCCCCCTAATCATTTTTGTTGCCCTCCACTGGACTCTTTCCAATTTTTCCACATCCTTCTTATAGTGTGGGGCCCAAAACTAGACACAGTACTCCAGATGAGGCCTCACCAATGTCGAATAGAGGGGAATGATCACGTCCCTCGATCTGCTGGCTGATTAGTTCTCTGCAATTCCAATGAGAGCTACTGGTTTTAACAATGTTGTTCTACTCCACAGTGTATTTATAAACCCAGTCTACCAAAATGCATGAAATTCTCAATTCATCTAGGCCAGATTTCCCAAGAGTGACTAGTGATTCTGGGTGCCTCAAGATGTCTTAAAGGGTCCTGATTTTTAGAGAGTGGGGGCTCAACACTGTCTCAAAAATAGGTCTCTTTAAGGTGTCAAGTACTGATGCACCTAAAATGGTTAGTCACTCTTGGCCTTAATTGTCTCCCATTATACATTGCCTAGCACACTATAGGCAGCCAAGACTGTGACTCAATACCGAGACCAAAGCAATAACACATGGCAAAGCATGCAGAGGTTGCAAAATATCAGCACATCCCAGGTTGCCTTGCTAAGTGTGAGGCCCTGTTACGAACTGCACTTGAAGAGTACAGACATTCCTGCAGTGGATCAACACAGATAGAATATTTTTGTTCTTATCATTTGAGCTGTGTGGTTAGAGAGGGATGATATGATCTAGTGATTTAAGCACTGGACTGGGAATTGGAAACTCCTGAGATCTTATCCCAGCTCTAATCCTCTTCTTTGTGGCCTTGGGCAAGTCATTTAACCTCTCTGCATCTCAGTTTCTCACATATGGTAAAAACATAGGAACTGCCATATTGTATCAGAGTGTGGTCCATTTAGTTGAATCTCTCACCCCAACAGTGGTCAACACCAGATGATTGAGAAGAAGGTGCAAAAAACCCCAGAATGGATAGTTACGGACTAACTGGACTATAGGGGAAGTTTCAGAGTAGCAGCCGTGTTAGTCTGTATCCGCAAAAAGAAGAACAGGAGTACTTGTGGCACCTTAGAGACTAACAAATTTATTAGAGCATAAGCTTTCGTGGACTACAGCCCACTTCTTCGGACGCATAGGGGAAGTTTAATTCAAATCCCAAAAAGTTAGTGGCTAGCTCATGTCCACAGCAGATGAGTGTATATCCCATCTGTTTTTTAACATGGTAACTAAACAGGTCTCATTGTTCAAACCTGTTTTGAATCCTGCTAAGCTCTTGGTCTCAATGAGATCAGGATTCCACCAGGGCAACAGAGAACCCATCCGGGGGGACAGAAGCCTAAGTTTCTTAACAACTACACCACACGCCTGGCAGGGACTCTGTTGGTCTGCTCCAGCAGATTGAAATGTAGAGGCCTTCCCATTTTGCCTCACACTGCCACCAATCTGAGATCTACCATTTCAGAACAACTGGCCAAATTCACCAGGAATAACTCCATTCATTGCAGTTGTGCTACACAAGGAACTAATCTGACTTGTGCACACAGACTTTGGAAGCAAGCTACATACTTCTCTTTCTCTATTTCCATGGAAAGTCTCTTCATGTCTGTATCCTTGAAGTCAAAGGAGAGGCTCTCACTGATGAGGTTGAAGCTTGGCAGGTCGGCAGGCAGCGCTGTCATACCTGAGTTCATGGGCTGCTAAAGAGAGAGCACAGATTAATCATCTTTGGACACACAGCCACTGCTATCTGTAAGCGTTCTGTAGCAGGAAGCTAAGGAGATACGGCAACGGCTGACCCCTGTAATGCAAGAAGCTACTTAGTGGTGCTTTAGTGAAGAGCTGGCTTGCTGACTGCATGGACAATGCGGGCTATGTGCTAATTCACTGCATCCCTTCTGAAGGATGTTTTGCTGCCTCCAATGACATTGATCAAGAAAGTATCTCATTTACTGTGTACAGGAGTCGGAGAGTATTGCTGGGACAATGTGACTCATACCTTCATATCAAAACCATCTGAAGAACCTAGCATATGCCACAGTGGAAATAAAAGATAACTACTTACATTAAACATAGTGCCTTTCATGCTGAAGGATTTCTAACACTTTAAGCACTTTAGGAGAGGCAGTATGGCCCAGTGCATAGAGAACTGAGCTGGGACTCAAAAAACCTGTGTTCTATTCCCAGCGCTGCCATTGGCCTGCTGAGTGACCCTGGGCAAGTCACTTTGCCTCTGTGCCTCAGTTTCTCCATCTGTAAAATGGGGATAATACGACTGTCCTTAGTGCTCTTCTTCAATAGATCTCAATTTAAAAGCTAGGTATTATTTTTATTTAATATATATACACAAGGATCACTAAAGACACTGCTGGAATGCAGCTGCCTCTGGGATGAAACTCTGCAGCTATTTAACAGTAAAACTGCATACCAGTTAAGGACAGGAAGTGAAGGGTGTTAGTACAAAACCCTCTATGATAGAAGAATCCTATATTCAATTGGAAGAGCAGAGAAAAGGGTGGCAGAATGGAATTACCCAAACTCAAACTGGTCAGGACCTCAGACTCTGACCAACACATCCTGACCCTTGCAAAGTTCCATGGTATATTCAATTGTCACGATTGGTCAGAACATCCATTTTAAGCTTCGTCTGAAAGATGGCACCTTATCTCACACAGTGCCCTCTAGTATTATGCTGAGGAACCGGCTCATTATTGACTCAAAGGAAAGAGCGCCATGTACTAAAATCACCAACACTAATTCCTGCACACACTATTCCTTTAAGGTGTTCTAGACAAAGGCTGACCTGCCCCAACTTTGTTTGGCTTGGGGGATCATAGCAAAAGGTGTTATAAAGGACTACAGGCTGGTGGGAGGTTTGACAATAACTGTCAAGAATAAGGCCATGCTTTGTGCGTATTGACTCTGGGACCGAGGGCAGGAACTATCTGCGGATTTCACCGACTAGAATGCTGTGCTTGGTCTCCCTCCCTTGCTCCCTAGATTAAGATAATCCAAGGACCGTTGTAGCTAGTCCAAGGTTGGCAGCAGTAGCTCTGATTGGGATAGCAATGGATTTACTCTGCACAATAAGCCTCCCTCTCTTGCCATAGGCATAAACTTCACAGGCAGTAGGGGCTTGTCCCTTGCTTGCAATGAACAAATCCTGCAGGACATCATTTCATTTGTCCTGCAGAACTGAAGCTAAAATGGGAACATTTTGAACAAGCAAAAGCAGTGAGAACAAGGCAGTTGAAGCTAGATGCTTGACCTGGTGCAAGGGTTACGTTAATTTACCCACTTTGTGCATATAACGTAAATACCATTTCCTACTCCTGTTTCTTTTCCAACACACAGCTTATCCTGCTGCTGTGTGTGTGCAATGCAGCCAAGTTAATATTGCTGTGAGACTCTTCAAAGGGATACCTGTGACTCTAAATTCCAGAATCTCAGAGAGAGGAAAACAGACAAAAGTGCCTAGGTGACTGAAGAGCCTAAGAGTATGTCTGCATTGCAATCAAAGGTGTGACTGCAGCATGCATAGACATACCCGAGCTAACTGAGATCTAGCTAGCTGAACAATAGCAGTGAAGCCATGGCAGCGTAGACTAGCTGCTCGGGTACATACCCAGTGTCCTGGGCAGCGTTGTTCAGCCCATGCTGCCGCAGCTTCAGTGCTATTGTTATTCCAGCTAACTAGATCAAAGCTAGCTTGGGTATGTCTACACTTGCTGCGGTCACACCTCCTGACTGCAGTGTAGACAGACCCTGAATCTCATGGACTTTCAGGGGGACTTTGGACAGCTTTACCTGTATGAAGTTTTCTGGCCTATGCAGGAAGTCAGACTAGATGATCATAATGGTTCCTTTTCTGCCCTTTAAATAATTTGTTAAAAAATTACTAGATTTCAAGTTTTACAGATTTTAACAGTAGTTTCAGATATTACATCTGCTGAGTTCCCATGCCAACTTTCTGTGGTTATACAACTACATTCCTCCCTCTCTTCACTGTTGCTGTATGGAAGAGCCACTTAAGCAGGTGAAGAACTGATCATATGCATCGGAGAGCGCAAAGAGAGCAAAGAACAGTGAAACCAATTATACACAAAGTGCTATCAGGTACATCAACTTCAAATCTGGGGGAAATATTTTCCCATCTCATTTCTCTCATTTTCAGTAATCCTAGGCTACACTTGTAACAAGAGAAGGTGAGAAATTCCCAGGGCAAATTGTGATTACTAAACTGAGGTGGCTTAAGAGAAGGTTACTCACCTTGTGTGGTAACTGAGGTTCTTCAAGATGTGTATCCCTGTGGGTGCTCCACTTCAGGTGTCGGTGCACCCCGGTGCTGTCAATCGGAGATTTTTGGTAGCAGTGTCCATCAGGGACACATGTGCACAGTAGTCATCTTGCAGCGCTGTTGGTGCCTTGACTAGTGCGCGTACAACCAGACCCCCTCAAGCCCTTCTCTACTGTAGAGTCCTTACTGTGAACTCCGAAGTAGAGGGGAGGAGGGTGGGTAGTGGAGTACCCACAGGGGGACACATCTTGAAGAACCTCAGTTACTCCACAAGGTGAGTAACCTTCTCTTCTTCTTCGAGTGCTGTCCGTGTGGGTGCTCCACTTCAGGTGATTGTAGAGCTATGACAGAGGGTGGAGGGGGGACTTTGGAGTTGTGTGCATAGTGGAGGAAAACACAGTTAGGCCTAGTATAGAGTCTGATCATGAGTATTGGGTAATTGCATAGGGGTTAATGAACATATGCTCAGAGGCCCAAGTAGCAGCTCTGTAGATGTCTGGGATTGGTACATTGTTCAGGAAAGCTACTGATACTGGGTAGAGTGAGATCTGAGCCCTCTTGGCAATTCTGTTTTATTCATTTGATAACAGAGTTGGATGCACCTGGAGATCCATTTAGAGTGACTCTGTGTAGATATAACGGAGTCCTTGGATCACTCCGTTGTGGAGATTTAAGCCTTAAGGATTTTCAGAAAGACTTTGTTCTGTCCAGGTAAAACCTATTATACGTCTAATGTCTAGAGAGTGCAAAATAGTCCCTTGTGTGCTCGCACGCAGTTTGGGATAAAATGTGGGAAGGTGAATAGGTTGGTTTAGATGGAAGGATGATATTTTAGGGGGAAATTTTGGATGAGGTCTCAATGTAACCTTGTCCTTAAAAAAAATACAGTGCATCAGGGATTGGCCATTAGTGCTCCTATCTCATTTACTCGTCTGGCGGAGCTGATTGCAACCAATAATGCCACCTTCATTGATAGATGGAGCAAGCAGCAAATAGCCAGAGGTTCGAATGGGGGTCTGGTGAGGCGTTTGAGAACCAGGTTTAGGTCCCATGCAGGTTGGCGCACTTCCAGATAGAGATTCTGTATGCCAGTGAGGAAATGTTTGGTGATTATGGGGGACAGATAGCTCAGTGGTTTGAGCATTGGCCTGCTAAACCCAGGGTTGTGAGTTGAATCCTTGAGGGGGCCACTTAGGGATCTGGGGCAAAATCAGTACTTGGTCCTGCTAGTGAAGGCAGGGGGCTGGACTCGATGACCTTTCAAGGTCCCTTCCAGTTCTAGGCGATGGGATATCTCCATTTATTTATTTATTTATTTATTAGGTGCACAAATATCGATATTCTGTTGATCTTATGATGGAAAACTGTAATCACCATGGGATGTACTTTAATGGAACTTATGGACAGGCCCAAATTCTTTAATTCTAGTAGGTAGTCAAACACTAGCAGAAGTGGTGTAGTGCTTGTAGTGAACGGTTTGTTCTGGCACCATATGGAGAATCTTTTCTGTTTTTTAAGGTAAGCATTACGTGTGGTTGATCTCCTGCTGTTCAATATCACGTGTTTAACCTGTTCCAAACAGACTAGTTTGTGGTGATGGAACCATGAAGGAGCCACGCTTTCAGGTGAAGTTTCTCCAGGTTCGGGTGGAGAACCTGACAGTTGTCCTGAGAAAGAAGGTTCATGCTTGACGGGAAAGTTCGTGGGATATATACTGCCATGTGCATCAGGTCAGGATACCAGGTCTGTCTAGGACAGATTGGGGCTATCAGCATGTCCTTGGCCTTGTTGGCACATATCTTGTGTATCACCCTCGAAAGCAGTGGAATCAGTGGAACTGCATATAGAAGTGATGCATCTCATGTGATGAGGAAGGCATCCCCTAATGACTAATGTCCCAATCCTGCTCTCAAGCAGAAGAGTGGACACTTGTGGTGTAGTGACGTTGCAAATAAATCGATGGGAGGGAAGGCTCATTGTTGCAATATGGATTATAGGACTGTGTGGTTCATTTCCCATTCGTGGTCCTGAGAGAACTGTCTGCGTAGAGTGTCCACTGTCATGTTCTGACATCCGGGGAGGTAGGAGGTCAAGATGTTTATGTGGCGGTGGATGCACTAGTTCCATAATTTCAAGGCCTTATTGCATAGTGAGTGGGAACTTGCCCCTCCTTGTCGATTGCTATAAAACATGCATGCAATGTTGTTGGTCATCACTGGTACTGTTCCGTTCTTTATGAGTGGTAGGCTGTAGAGACAGGCATTGTGTACTGCTTGCAGTTCCAGTAGGTTGATATGGAGTTGGGTCTCCACATGTGACCATCTGCCTTAAATTGTATGGTGGTACAGGATGGTGCTCAAGCCTAACAGATGAGGCATCTGTTGTGATTATTATCTATGGCAG